AAGCGCATCTTCTCTCGGTTTTAGTGTGGCCCATCCCTGTGGAGGAAGCTCCCCGGCGGTACCTAGCTATCCCCGTCAAAACAGCCAGCAACCAACAGCAGCATCCAGCACACACAGCCAACCTGCATCAAACAAACCACGTCTGCGGCGCTTCGTTCTTCTGCCGGTTTCTCGTTTCTTCTTCTTCAGTCGCTTCTGCCTAGCCAGAGATTCTTGCTGCCTTTTTCCCGCTGCGGATCTCCTAGTCACCACCCAGTTCTAGAACCCAGCATCCACCCCCAAAAAGCATGGTCGTCAGAGGCACCACCGCATCTGCCTGTCCCGAGCCAGCTCAATAACCACCTCGATCTCTTCTTCCCTTCCCGTCACGTCTCGATATCTTTTCCTCCTGTTCCTCTTCTTCCTCCTTCTCCGTCTCCTTCAACAGGAACAAACAAGCTTCCAGGGTGCTTAGGCTATGTTATCATGGCCTGTGATTCATCCCCTTCCAACGCCTTCTTTGCTCCCTCTGCTGGAAAGTAGATAGACACCGCTACTACCACCACTACTACTACTGCGACGACAGTCATCCTCAGCCAAACACCAACCGTCAACAACGCCATCGGTGCCGGAGAGGCTGTCGATAATGCATCAACGACCGCGGCCGTTACCCCGGCCGGCCTCGGAGGCTCCTAATCCTCCCATACCGGCAGACGAGAGACCGCTCTCAGACAAACAGGTCCAAGACCAGATTGCAAAGCTGAACCAGATCATCCAGGTATGTTGGTAGAACAGCAGAGCTAGAAGCTGGAGCGACTGAAATATATGCTAATAGGTGTTGTGTAGAACTACCATACCAAAGCGGCGCTGATTATTCTTCATTCGAGGACCGTTTTACGGCCGATATACAGAGAGGGTGTTAAGAAAGTAAATAAATGGGTACTTATAGAGCCTCATCCTTTCGTTTTGTTATATATGCCTATCTTTCTGTTGTTCTAGGATGCTAACAGCCGCAGTTCAATGTCGAGGTCGATGACACAGATACCCTGCGAGAAGATCTCACCCAATGGCGGAACTGTACCGCTACCGATAAACGGCCCGAGCCGCTCATCATCGAAACCTTTCTCGACGGCTCTCAGCTCCAGAAGCACGAAGAACTCGTCATTCTAGATGACCATGGCAAGCGATGGGATGTCTTTGACGCTCTCTCCGATACCCCTGGAGGGCCACCGGAAAAGAAACGCGGCACAAGGAATGAGGTCATTCTGGAAAGATGGGTTATCGAGTTGGGCCCTTCCAGCTCTTCTGGTCTACCAGGAGACATGACGCATATCTTACCAACGACATACAAGAAGTGCATCATTACATTTCGCTCCTTGTTCGCTTACTCAAAATTACTACCTGCTTGGAAGTTCACTAAACGCCAGTCGAAGGTCGCCTCCCATCCAGCTTTGCGGCTACAGCATCGCATAATACCAGCAAGCAAAAGCCAATACGGCAGCCGTTCGGATCCCTTGGCTATTCCTCTGTGCGGCAGCTCAAGCGATGAACCAGATACCTACTCCTTCGGTGTCACTGAATCCCCGGCTGGACCACTTTCGATTCGTGTGACTTATCGGATTAACTGTGAATTTCGTGTCGACGACGCTGAGTCCATGTTCAGCTCACGGTTTATGGGGGTGGATGATGATCTATTCCGTCCCTCCTTACCGTCGGCGAATGACCGTGAGGAGCAAGTTCGAGCCCAAAATGTAGATATCGGCTCTTTGCCGGCCAAGCATAGGGCCTCGAACAATCCGGATCTCAGCCAAGCATATGGCAGCATGTCGACCTTCCATCGTGCCGATCCAAGCATCAAGGGAAGTCCCATATCTGCCCTCCGTGCAGCTAGGGATTTAGTTGGTGGCTCGCCTTCTCCTCCAACACAGATGCCTTCACCGAAACTTGGTCATGCACGGGTTGCTTCGCTTTCCGGCGAAGACGGACATTCACTGCAGCGCAGGCCGTCAGTCTCCTACCAACCATTCAAGGCACCACCACTCTCAGCTTCTCCTGGTCCCGGCGCTCCTCGTAGCTCATCAACCAGGGAACCCTTAAATATAAGCGTCAACCCAACCCAGAATGTCCTAGGGGCCTCTCCATCTCCCAGGAGGATACCGAACTCATCCACCCGCCCTCTCTCAGCGCACGTTTTGCCCGACCAGGCTGTCTTCTCCTCAATGTCTGCTTCTCCAAAACAAGCTCCTATCTCAAAGTATAGCAGCTCGTTCAGTCACAGACGTGGCCGCCTCTCTACCGGCGGAGGAAGCAAGACCGAAGAAGACAATAACTCGAGTGGAAAAGCAAGCATCAGTTCATCGTCAGCGATGGCAACAGGACAACGAGACTCGGCCTCTGGTGTTTTCCCTGTGGTCGATACAGATGAAGACAACATCTCTGAGTTTCTCAAGATGCTAGACCAACGGAAGGATTTGCTATCCAACGGTCCCGATGGTTCGACTTTCGATCCGGCATCGAGCAGAAGGACTACCACAGCAACACTATCTAGGTTCCAGAAGATGAAGGACGCTAATACCGCCTTGTCAGATTCTATGACTTCGTCTCTGTTACTACATCGGTCAACTGCCTCCTCGTCTAGCAAACACCTCCCTCCAGCCGCAACAAGCAACCCGACAGCTACGGCTGCACCAAACTCGCTACCCAGCGGCGTCTCAGGTTCTATATCATCATCTCCAGGCAAAGCTATCTCCCCACATACACCACATACTCCAGCTGTTCCATCTAGGCTGAGCTCAAACAGCGTGATCGAGTATCCTAGCCCCGACGAACCGGGCCATATCATCACCACAAATACCCGCTCGCGTCGCGCTCCTCGCCATGAATCTCCCCTGGGAGAAACCTCTGAGCCTGACCAAGAATCGGAATCAGGACCACAATCCCAAACAACTACTACGGCCAATGCGATTGATATACCGCTGCCTGCCTCTCCACATAACCGACATCACCGGGGAGCATTCGTTTCTAGTTTCCGCCGCTCCAGTTCTGCTGCTCAGCGTCGAACTAGCACAGCAAACTCAAACAACACCGCAACAGGAGACGAAGATGTTCCTGACTTCTTGCCCTTCCCAACAACTACCAGAAGTATCAGTCTAGGAGCGCAAGACAGATCCCCGCCATCTATTAGCGAGCTGCTGCAGTCTGCGAGTCCGGATGCAGAGAACCACCCTGCAGTCTCATCCCCGGTCGACAGACGCCAAACGGAAAGCCCTCAGACTCTTGACGCAGAGAATACAAAAGAGAGAACAGCTTTGCCTTACCGGCCTCGCGTTACTCCTCAACCAAGACTTGACCGAGAACCACAGGCAAATTCCTCACATACACATGCACAACGAGCTAGCACGAGAAGGTTCAGCACCGCCCGTTCACCATGGAGCAATGTGAACCCTTCATCGAGTCCCAACCCTCACGGTAATGGAATTATGGACGAAGACGAACCACTATTATTCACTATGTCGGATTTCGGAGCGGGAATCAGTCACCGCACAACTACCCATGAATCAAGACGAGACCACGACAGACGTCGAGATCGCGAGAATAATCGAGAAAGCGATGGTGGTGGCGGCTCTGGTTCTGGTGGTGGAAATCCCTGCTCATTTCATCCTTGGGATTAATTTGGTTCTTTTTTTTGTTTTTCTATACCCATCTCCCCCGTCTGTCCTACACTCCGTTGCACATGGCAGTTTAAGTGGTTCTAGTTCTACGTTGATACGTGATCATGTTCTTACCCCGTTCTTGTTCTTGTTCTGACGGAGAGCCTTGTCTTCTTGTTCAGGTCCACGATGGTTTTTGTGGTTGGACGCTGGCGGTGTCCCTACCATATTGCCCATGCCCATGCCCATGCCCTTCTACATCCACATACCCAAGCCCACACAGATTGCACTAGCTGCTGTCTCCGTGTTAGCCCTCTTACTCGTCACCATCTCGCTGCCACTATACATCATGCTCGCCTCACTTGCCGCTTTAAGTGGTAATACTCACTCGTCCTCGCTCCCTTCCCCTACCATACGGATGCAGACCACTTGTGAATAAGTTGGCTTCTCATCTTCATTCCTACCCTCAGCAGCCTTTTTTGTTTATTTTTATCCTTTGCATTGCCTTCCTATTTGTTTGTCGAGTACATTGGTACTACGTGGCGCGGTGCCTTTGACAGGTTTGGTCCTCTAATCCCCTATTAACCCCGCCCTTCTTATTCTTTCGCATATCTTCTACCAACATTTTTCTTTTCTTCTCTTTTTTTTTTTTTTTGGAAAGAACCATGCCATATATCTCACATCTATTCTGCTCAAATAAAGCACAGCAGCCTCTTTATTTTATTTTTTCCTATTGAACTACAGTTTGGCACATTGGTTTGTTAGTTGGATTGGTATCGATTGCTTGTTTTGTTTTGCTTTTGGTTATTGAGTTGTTTAAATAGTTACCGTGGTTCAACGGCCGGTTGATTGGGCTTCGGTTTGGCTTCGGGCGTTGGACTGTTGTCTTTTTGTCTTCCTTCGTTTTATCATAGACATCACGATTCGATTCGACTTCATAACACATATTAGGCTGCTAAGGCAAAGAGAATGGACATATAGGGATAAATGGGATCAGGTTCTATGTGATATATTCAACACGCGCTGTGTATAACGAGATCTCCATAGTAGCATAATATCATAGTATTTTTTATTATACGTTGGTTAACCTGCCATTCTCTAATATTGATATAACTATAGGAGGGCTCCAAGTATTTTTGAATAAGCAATCACAATATTTCAATCCACCTACTAGTTGGTTGGTTAGCTTTAAACTGATCATCAGAACAAGAACAGAATCCTTCAGCCAGGTTCTATTTTGATTGGTGATCCTTCATGAAGGCTTAACAATTATCGAGGTGTGAAATACGGGGCAGTTGCCAGTTCTTTCTGGCCACTGCGATGGGCAATCAAGTGTATTCATTTAATTAACACTTGAGGTCGCCAGCAGAGATGAGATTTTTCCGTCAGCAACTGGCGGTAGGCCTTGGGCTTGCTGCCTTCTCGGTTGATACCCTGGCGACTCAGAGCCAACCAAGTGCAATATCAGACCATTGCGTCCAGGCAGTAAGTCTTTCTAGGGCAATCATGCTGTTTCATGTAATAACTATCATTCAAGTAACAATTTCATACAGTGCAAAGCTTTGACGAGCAAGCTTGCAGACCAGGTCAGTCTGCCGAATACCACGGTCTATGACGAGGAAAAGACGCAGTTCTGGTCTGCTCAGCAATCGGACACATCTCCGACATGTTTCTTCCGTCCTAAAAACTCACGGGATGTCGCTGCTGCTATCAAAATATGTCGCCATACCGGATGCCCCTTTGCAGCAAAATCAGGGGGTCATGCTGCTATGGCAGGTGCTTCAAATATTGCCGGTGGTCTTACCATCGACTTTTCCTCCATCAAGAGCATTATTGTGGGAAAAGATAGACGTACTGTCTCTCTAGGTACAGGGAACACATGGCTCAACGTCTACTCGCAGCTCCAGAAAGAAGACCTGGTAGTTGTTGGCGGCAGGGTGGCTGATATTGGTGTCGGTGGCCTGACACTAGGAGGAGGCATCTCTTTCTTCAGCAACCTATACGGATGGGCAGCGGACAATGTTCGAAGTTTTGAAGTTGTCACGGCTTCTGGTGATATTGTTCATGCGAGCTCCCATCAGCATACTGATCTATATTGGGCCCTCCGAGGTGGTGGCAATAACTTCGGCCTGGTCACTAAGTTCGAGGTCTTTTCATACCCTTTAAGACGGGGAGAGATGTGGGGAGGGAACTTAGTATACCCGGGGGCTCAGAATGCGAGTATGTTCCGGCATTTAGCTGAATATACCAAGCACGGTGCAGAACAGGATCCCAAGTCTGCGTTGATAGTGAATGTTGTATACGTCCAGCAGTTCGATCAGTATATTTGTGTAGCTCAAGTGGAATATTCCGAGCCTATGAAGGACAATAACACCCATCCTGCGGTCTTTGATGGGATATTTGCTGAGCCAGGCCGGGTGATGGACACAGTAAAGTCTTCTACACTGGCACAGATTGCAACGGATTTCAACGATGCCAATCCCAATGGCTTGAGGGAAAGTTACTGGACAGCAACGATCGAGGCCGATGCGGAGCTTCTCTCAGACCTCCTGGAACTTTGGGTTAAAGCTATCGACCCCCTACGAAAGAATGTCAAGGGGTATCTACCAGTATATTCACTGGAACCGATTGGTACCCCGATGCTCAAACCAATGGCCAGACGGGGCGGTAATGCATTAGGTCTAGATGATACAAAACCCATTATCATCATGAACCCCAGTGCTAGATGGGAATATGCAGAAGATGATAAAGTTGTCATCGACGCATATGTTGGCTGGCTTGAGAAAGCAAAAGCAAAGGCTGAGGAACGAGGCCTCTGGAACGATTTTGTTTATATGAATTATGCCAGTGTCAAGCAGGATCCTATTCGAAGCTACGGAAAGGCCAATATTGAACGGCTTCGCAAAGTGGCTAAAAAATATGACCCCGAAGGTATCTTTCAACGTCTGGAGCCCGGATACTTCAAACTCTGAGAATGGTGGTACTCTAAGAATACTTTTTTATTGTTGATAATATCTAGATACATGGATAATTTTGATGTCGGTAAATATATAGGTTCGGCGGCACAGTACCCGGTATATACCATACATTTTCTTTCCCATAAGAACTACAGAGCACGAGCTGCCTGCAGCCATTGCTCAATGCCAAAGAGAGCTTTGCGTGGTAGGTCCTTGTACTTGTTCTGATCGTAAGTGTCGAGGATATTCTGACGCAGACGCTTGGCCCTGATGATGGCAATTTTCTTTGGCTGCTGTGCGCTTTCTTTCTTCATAAAATTGCCGACCTCTTTTTCAAGGTTTGCACGCTTTTGGCGTAATTCCTCGCCATCAGCCTCCTCGGCAGCACAGAGCTTGCATTGACATTTGAAGCCCCATGTTCGCTCAATGGTTGCTACCCTGGTGCTGTAATCACTGTTCTCATCGTAGCAATGAGTTAGTTCCTCACCGGCTAAAATCCGACGAGTAGCACGCAAGATAATCAGGTCACCGATAAAATCTTTCTTGGTATTTGCGACACAGGAATGGTTTATGTATGATGCCCGAGACCAGAGCCCGGTACTAGCATTGGTGACATCTTCATTTTCGGTCTGTTGGCCAGGTCCAAAAGCGTTGCGCTGCACGATATCATGTAGTTGGAAAGTATCCAGGACAGGTCGGCCGTCAATTTCGAGAAGCTTGTTACCGAGTCCTTCATACTCTCCACAGAGGGCCAACACGCGTTCCACTTGGGAAGGATTGTTCATTAGTTTTTGTACTATAGCTTTGTGTAGACCAGACGGGAATACTCTGATTTTAGCATTGTCTCGCATGTCAATGGTCAGACACGACATTGCCTCCGGGTCGTGGCTCCAGACGACGCAGAACGCCTTCTCGTACATGATTGTTTCGTTAGGCTCTATGTCACGCGTGGCAAAGAGCCCACGTCCGGCTCCTGGGCTCTCCTTGATTTCAGTGAATCCATAGTAGCTTGCGACATCAGCTCGGCCCTGCAATTTTGAAAGGCTGGATGCCACTTTCTGTAGATCATATATACCTGATTCCTTCTCCTGGGCTCGCAGTTTTATTCTTTTCAGGTTAATCTTGACCAGTCGATCATCCGGCTGGAGTTTCTCCTGCTCCTCAAAGAAGCCTTTGGCTGCCTCAAAATCGCCAAGGCTGTATGCTGCACTGCCAGCACGAGAATAGGCCTTTGCATCAAGGGCCTTCTGTTCCTCTTCAGTTCCATGAGTGAGAGAGGCGAATGCGTCAGATATTGCCTCGTCGTAACGTTGTAGGAGAAGGTTAACGTAAGAACGGTTTCGATAGATATCCTTACGTAGTGTGCTATTGTCATCTTTTGGAATCAATTTCAAACCATCAGAATAGCAGGCGTGGGCCCTCCAGTATGCTTTTTTCCCAAGAGCAGCATTTCCTTCTTCCTTACACTGGGTAGCCGATTTAGAGGCAGTGGATGCCAATTCCTTGTCACCTGTGTTATTCCGCCATGAGGATGGGTTGTCACTGTAAGTGGTAATGATCATATCGGAGGGGTGATCGACGCGAATCACAGATTCATGGTTAGTATTAAGGGTATAATAAGGCTCCTTAATGAAGAATGCTGAGGCAGAGTCTAACATATCTTCTCCATTCCTTGTGTTGTGGAGGGATAGCTCAAGCCTGTCTGCGTCATCCGAGCCTGCTTCCTGCACGATAGTCCAGCTAGACGATCTTAGTTTGACCACTGGGGAGATACGGCGGAGAGAGAGCACTCGGCCGCGATGGTGCGTTTCCATACGAAGGTCTGATAACTTGATGGGCTCTAGATCTGCCAAGCTGGCTGTGCAGGGCAGATATTGACACCCAACTGCATATGCTGGCACGGTATCCTCGCTCTTGTCCTTTGGCAGTGTACCCATATCCAAAGCTGCCGCTGCAAAGTCATCCATCACGGACTTTCCAACGGCTTGTTGGACCAGGGCCTTCGTGTCATGGGCCTCTCGAGGCTGGCCAGCCTTCCCCTGGCGTTCCTGGGCATGTTCCTGGGCTGTTTTTTGTATCCGCTGGGTCTCCGCCGGCGTCATGAAAAGAGTAGCGGGGGCCGCCATGGCTATTGGGTGTGGCTTTAATATAGTCCTGATATATGGCCAAGCTTGCAGTTACTCGGGCTGTCACCCCGCCAGATTTCTCTATAGTGAAGCAATTGCCGCGGGACGGTTGATATGGTTACTCGCCCTGGGTTGGTTGGTTTGCTTGTTGTCTTGAGGAATCGCAACCGCAAGTGTTGGAATTTATCTAGTTGTGTGATCATATGAGGCTTGGCATCCCGCGCGGCTCCGCTAACTAGCTAGCAAAGGTTTTGCCATGGAAATAAAATATGTATAAAAACAGGAGAGAGAAAGAGAGAGAGACAGATAGAGAAAGTGATCTCTTACTGTACGGTTATTTATAGCTTGATCAATAGAATGGTCATTGGCCATGGTAGTTCAATAAGTAACATATCATCACTATGCTATCAGCAAGGCAGTAATAACAACGAAACAGACAGTAACCCTACTATCTACTACTCGGAGCCGACGCAGTGAGTCGGAGATTGCACAGAAGCTCGGTACTCTAAGTATATAAACAGAATTCCTTCGTGTGGCTCGAGATGGTTGGGATTGAAACCTTAGGCACGATTTTGAGAATCAACCATCAAAAACACATTAAGCATGTTTTCCCACTTGTCGATGGGCGAATACCAGCGTAGTGGATGTTCAACATTTTACTCCACTGGGGGGTTCCGTATATGCAGGACTTCACTCTGGGTCTCTGCAGAAAGAACCAATTTTTACTGAGGACAACGGGAACATAGATTCCATATCCCAAAGGGCGTAGACGTAACAGCTCACGCCTAGCCACGAGGCACGGATGAACGACCTTTTCCAGGCCAGGGGGATTCAGATCGGGGACATAGACTGATAATTGCCGATCTCCCATCAAGCACTATTGGTTCGGCCGGAGGAAACGTACCGGCCGTGGATGCAGTACTTGTCATCACCACCTAGGCTTCCTGGGGTATACTATGGGCCATCAGGATGCTAAGATGTACTCCGGAGCTCAGGTAGAGTTTTATGTAGAAGTTTTTGATATCCTCACTTTAACTCGGGACTTCAGCATTCCGATGGGTTGTAGATTAGTTCCAATGTTTCGAGGTATATCCGGGGACAACTTGAGCATCGTTACTCCGTACACGCCCAGATTATCAAACTGTTGCATCCTTGCAGGGCGGCTGAAATATTTCGTATCTTCTGTTCGTCTTTTGCTCTTTTGATGTCTTTTTTGTCATTTATTTTTTTTATTACGTCATTACAGAAATGCTTAGTAATAACTAAATAAGCTTAGTAATCTGTTCGACCAGAAGCGGAAGTCGGAACGTCGAGGTCAACATTTCGATATATCAAAGAATTCTCGAAGGAAGACGTCAAGTTGCGAGAGACGGACGAAGCGAGGTCCAGCTGCGTGGAGGCCCGGCGTGCGTTCTACTGTCTCTCCGAGATGCTGACCAAGTCGGTCGTAACATGTTCTCGGACGGTCGGCCGTTGTCTGCGACCGAGGGAGAGACACTAGCTTGCTTCGTCAGTTCATTGTCATCCTTCATAACATCCCAGCAAACAGCTGCAGGTTCTTTGCTGCTATTATCCTGTATCGGCGCCCTTGCGTGGAAATCGGAAATCGTCGTTCCGGCTTGGCTGGGTTCCTCCAGACAGATCAATCCTTAGCTGATCCTGATAACTCTTGTGGTGTCCAGCTGGCCTGAAAATGATATCCAAATGAACCCTGGATCCGGCGTACCCTGGCTAACCCGTACAAGTATCTATTGTTGAGTACAACTTTGGCTCTCCAAATACGTTTTTGTCCCTCTGCTGGAGGGCGTCTGAGGGCATGCATCACCTGCATGCCCACCAATCGCTGTATTCCACAGAATGCAGATCCATGAAGCTCGACCTCCGAGTCGCAGAATGGCTCAAGGCTGAAGACTTCTCGAGCAGATGGTCCTCATCCTTTCGACTTACAGTCGTAGAAAGTCCGATCAATGATTCTCTTTTCTTTGCAGTTCAAGGAACACAGTAATCTGCAAAGTGCGGAGTACAGAGCATGTACTTCAAGCGGTGGCTTGGATTTCTGTGAGACAAGCTTCGCGGTACGCTGTGCCAGATAGTTAGCTGCGGGGTGGGTGGTTCTGTCCGAGGACCGAACTTTATAGTCTCATGCGAACAGCCGCAGGCGGGCTATTCGCGCTATCCCCGGGCCGCATATAACTCCGTAGCCCCTGTCCGTGGGCTGAGGGGGTGTGCAGGTATTGCAGGTCAATAAGGCCGCCAGGGTCGGAGATAGCAAGTGTCAAAGAAACCCCGGGCCGCCTGCCCACTCTGAAAGTTGTATCTTATGAGCTCTTCAAACGGGATGTCGGCACCTTACAGCCCGCCTTTCAACCCTCTGAAGTGTTCGCGAGGGAACTCAAGGATTCACCCATGGCCAATAAGGCCGGCCTACAAACGAATGCGTGGGGGACATGGTGCGAATAAGAAATGCTGCAGGAGACTGAAGTATAAATGAGACGCAGTTAGCCTGTTCTGTTCTGCGCTCATCGATCTACTACATCTTCTCAAATTGAATATCCGGCGTTGAATCTTCTGCCATTTCCAACGACGTGAAACGTTTATTATCTATATATCAAGTATGGAGAACCCGGTAATCACTGATATTGACAGGCGAACATGTACCCGCGTGGTCCCTATGAAAGTGATATGTGCGGGGATGCCTCGTACCGGAACATTCTGTATGTTGGTTCTGCTGCCCATCGCCAGATCACCCTCATTCACCCAGGCTATAGTGTTGTACTGATCTATCAACCAGCTCTCAGGACAGCCCTGAAAATGCTCGGCTTCGAAGACACATACCACATGTATTCATGTGCCGTAGAGAACCAGAGGGATTGCGAAATGTGGATTGATGCTACTCGTGCGAAATTCGAAGGCGTCGGCAGTTTTGAAAAAAGGGATTGGGACGCTTTATTGGGCCATTGCCAGGTATGATGCCAGATACATCTTCTCAAATTATAACAGACTGCCTGGAGACGGAAAGCTTACTTGCCCCTAGGCTACAACTGACGCCCCCGGTTGCGTCTTTATTCCTGAGCTCGTGGCGGCTTATCCGGACGCTAAGGTTGTGCTGAACAAGAGAGACGTTGATAAATGGTACACGTAAGTATCGCATTGCAGTATACGCTACAATATGCCAATGATTCAATTTCTGACTCCGATTCAGTTCTGTTCTCGACACTATTCACAAGGCCCATATTGCCAACAGGGAACTGGGTATCCAAGGGAAGAGAGTGGAAATGCTCAATCTGCTATGGGGACATTTGTTTCACGGCGATTTCCGCAAGAATGGAAAGGAGGTCTGGGAACAGCACTACCAGATGGTCCGTGACTTAGTTCCAGCGGACAACTTACTTGAGTTCGAGGCGAAGGATGGATGGGAGCCTCTCTGCAAGTTCTTGGGCGTGCCTGTCCCTGATGTTCCTTACCCAAGGGTGAACGATACAAGTAACTTCTGGGAGAGGTATGAGAAAGGAACCGGCGCAAGCTTGGAGAAAGTCAACGAGATTGTAGCCAAGGTAGAGAAGGTAGAGTGCAGCCGTGCTTAGAGTGATTGATTAGTCTTCCCCTCGATATAGGAGTTCTAATAATAGATGTGGTGATGCCTTTAATTATATATGTTATCATAATTTTTGTCATACTTAGAGGTAGCAGCTCTAGGGTTGTACAAAATCGACGAGACTTGAGCATCTTATTGGAGGTTATCAAAGCCCGATGGAAGCTCAAGGCCGGATATGACTTCTTCGTGCTTGCTGAACGACAATCTCACCGGAGTTGCGTCGCAGGTCAATAGCAACCGGCCGTAGAGGCTCGGTTTACTAGGCTCATTAACTCCCAGCCTGACCATCAATAATTACCAGCCATTTGCCAGTCGACTTGTTTCTCATCACAGGGCAGTCAAGGCATTCAAGGATATTCAAATTAGCCAATTGACCGTAACCTGTCGCATTTGAGTACCATGTAAGGCCTGATGTCGGTTCCGTTTGGCTACATAGAGCCGTAGACTTACTTGTAAATGCCATGTAGGTACCAAGCGAGGGCAATGCCGGCATTATCCGTATTTGTCAATACGGGGTTTCCTAGCAGATATTGAACGGGTATATGAGCAACGCTACTATTACATGTTTCTGAACGTATTTCTGGAGGCACTTCTGCGGTCTTTCTTCCGGTAGCTCGTCCGATCAATATTGTCGGCCGCTGGTCTAGGCTTGGATTTCGGCTGGGGTGCGAAAGTGACTGTTTTCTCCCCCCCTGATCGCGCCACTGAAGGGCGCTCCTTGGTTTGGTGCTTACGAACTCTGGACTCAAATGAACGATCGTGCGTGCGTGAGGCCTTAGACGATGAGGTCACTTGCATCTGAGGCTGTTTGGGTTTGCTTCGTCTATAAGAAGCAGTAGATATCTGTTTAGAAGACGGCTCCCGTTTCGATCGTGGGGCTTCATCTTCCGAAGACGAGTCATCTGAGCTTGAACCTGGAACTTCATCAATAGCTTCCTCCTCAACAGCCGTCAATCCTCTCTCGGGCTTAGGGGCAGCCACAGGAGCATTTCCCGAGTGAGTGAGAAGGTATTCTCTGGAGTTCTCGTCAATCGCGAAGTCTTGATCATCGAACAGCTTGCTGAAACGTGAATCACCAAGTAAGCCACCAGTACTTGGTTCGGCAGGGCCGGTGCCATTCTCTTCCTTCTTGGCATTATCATCTCCTCCTTGCGCCAATACCCTGCGGGCCTGAAGCCGTTCTCTCTTCTCTTCCTTCTCAAGGAGTCTCTCTGCAAGCTTTCGGTTAACCTTTGCTGCGACCTTCTTCTTTCCGCGAACACGACTTTCTCTCTCTTTATCAATCTTCTCTTTGATTTTCCTATCCCTTTCTTCTTCCCATATGAACGGGTTGGCGATAAGTCGTGCCTCTTCATACAAGCGTTGGGCAACGAAGTAACCATGCATGTATGGACGTAGTAATGTAGTGGTCCCAATGAGATGGTCCAAGTTTAAAGTACGCAGCTGAGGAACAGTGAGGAACTTGTAATTATCATAAACTGAGCCGGATTGACCGGTAGCAAATGCATGAGGGTCGTTAGGGTCATCGGCCATTTCTTCGACGAGGTTGTCCAGGAATGCGCACCACTTTGGTGCAGGCCCCAATTGTGGAATGAAGAATGAGTGCTGTTGCCTTCCTTCGTTGGCCGTTAATAGCATACCACTATCCTTGCACCAGGCTACACTGTTAATATCAACAGCTGGTTCCACAGACGTCCACGGAGTACCATCCCGTTGATCCCATATTTTGATAATGCGCTTATCGGCTGACATGATTTTCGGGTCACTTGTCTGCTCGCGGGTGGATATAGATGAAGTAAGGAAGGTTAACGTGTGGATGGGGTAGCCGTAGCCTTGGTCCTTTTCGAGAATGGGAATGGGAGATCGAAGATCGTATAAATGAATGAGACCTGTAGACGACCCTGTGGCAAGAGTAAGCCCCGACCTGTTGAACTCTAGGGCGGTGATTTCCGATTTCTCGTTTGTGTAAGATGGAAGAATAGCCGCTCTGGCTTTTGCGCGAGGATCCCAGAGCTCCACAGTCCCAATGGACGTTCCAAAAGCAAGCAGATTATGGCTTTCCTCGGCTACTGCTCCAGTGTTAACACTTCCCGTGTGTATGCCACCTTGAAGAGCTCCTCCACCAAGAGAGGTGAAATCATCACCTCCAACTTCAACTTCGTAACTGCGCATATACCTTCCTTGCTCCAAGTTCAACCGAAACACCTCTCCCATGCCGTTTTCATTGACTCCAACAGCGGGTGTGAGCGCTTCTGCGGATTGTCTATCGTACACCAAATCCCTGCCGTATCGAGGCAGACGGGTGGTGTAATGGCATCCAGAGGGTGTATGGAATTCCAGGGACCGATCTGATTGTAAATGAAGTGATTTTGAATAATCTGGTGATAGGAGCAAAAATGTCGTATTTAAGGATATCGTATGGCGGGCATACGATAGAGATAAATGTGGTAGGTAATGTACATGCATTTGAGGCTTGTAGGTACCTGTGTCGCTTCCAGTCAAAAATCCATTTGTTCATTGGAAACACTCGACAATACTGACCTGTGCTCATCACCCACTGCCCATCCTCACTAACCCGAATACACTGACTTGCTTCTTCAAACTCGAAATCTTGCAGCAGTTCCACCCGGTTCGAATACTCTGCGTCTGCTTTCAAGCTTCGCTTCCGTCTTCTAGCTAGCCATTCTGGGAGGGGCCTGGCAGTAGAGGCGCCAGATATCGTGTACACTGGCACCGCCGAATGGTTGGAAAGCTTCATCCTCGCTTAACACCCTGCTGCTCCCTTTTCACTGCCTTTTCACTTCCTCTTCGTCCTGTTGAATATCAAAAAATTTCCTCGAACAAAAAAAAGGTTTATTTTTATCTCAAAACTTTAATCTAAGCTTTACATCACGTGGAGGAGCTATCTTACATAAGCGCAACCTTAATTGAAGGTCAAATCAAAACGTTTTCGAACGCGCGAGGATGAAGATGATGATATCAAATCCAACTCCTGGTGTTCACGGCTTGTCTCATCTCTAGTCGCCTTCATTATTGATACCAGATTCTGTGTGGATGAACTACTACTCTTTATGTGACTTTCCGCCCCTGAAAGTGTGACGTGATGCCTTAGGTGGTCTCTCATCCCTGGAGGCTTCAAGGAGAGGTCCGGTAACATATATGGTCATATCACTACTGGACCTTGCTATTAGAGATGCTGCCACGGGGATTTTGGGCATATTTCTCTTCTGTTATTCTACTCTCAATGGCGAAAAGTTATCTCTGCGCAGAAATTTTTAGCAATCATGGAGTTTCCAATCGGAGCGGAAACCAACGGTCGAGTCTTTGTATGTCTATTTTACAACAGCAGGCTATGTTTATGCAGTTAACGCTAATATCTAACCAGGATGAACTTTCAACCTGCCACTGGAAAGTTTATGGAGTTGATTCCAACGGGAGTGATCTTGCGACCTCTGGGGCTTCCGTTAATCAGCTCTTTAAGAAAATCCAAATATGTGCATTAGCACTACGGGAGGCTGGGTGTCTTACGTGCCCGTCTTCTGATGGAACTGGAATTTGGGTGTTTTCCCTTGATACCGAGTTTTCTAGACTAAAATCATTCGCATCAAATCAGAGCGAGGATGCAGAAGGCCTAATTGTTGGACAGGTGCCGATATACGGTACGCTACTGTTATTTCTTTACACATATGCTATTATACAAGGATAATTACTGACTAGATTTTATAGAATATTGTGGAGGAACTACGTCTATAGCTGAGCTTTCTCAAAAGCTACTATCCAAAGCCTCAGAAAACTCCCGAAATTCTAGTCTGACTGAGAATCTATCGAGCAGAAATAAGCTAGAGATACCCGCATCCTTGGAACTAACGCATTCATCTCTATATGCGTCGTTCATTAGCTCGATAGCCTGGTCACTGTCGCTTCATTTGACTAAGCGTCATAGGGCCATACCCCTCGGGAAACGGACCTTCTTCACAGCCGCAGATCCCGACATGTCCCCTGGCGGTGCTTCTGCATCCATTCTTTCAACACTGGATATTGAATTGTCCCAAAGTGGCAAGGTGGTCATATCGCTTCGATCCAGATCCCAACCTGGGATAAGCCAACTTTCAGAAGGCCCTGTGGTCAGTAGCATTGGTGAATTACGATTGCATGACGATATATGGCTTGCTCCCACAGGAACAATAGCAAGGTATATAGGTATAGGGGGTAGTGAATATGCACTCGGTACCGGCAACTCATATCACTCCAACAACATACATGGTTCAAGGAATGGGTTCTCTAGCGAGGTCCAGGACCCATGGAAATTGGCGGTTTGCTCTTGGCTTGAGAGAACGGGAGTTCCTATAGGAATATCAGATAACATGAGATGGGTACAGGTTGAAGTAGTGACCCGTCATCAACGGTTAGGCCAGGGTAAGGCTACAGGTACCCGAAGAATTTACTGGCCAGCACAGTTATGTTTCAAAAAAGCCCGTTTTCCCACTGGCTCTCCAATTCAAGGAGCTGAGACTTTATCCCGCGACAGTCTGGGCCCTCTACAGTACGCTCGCCAGTGGTTAAAATGCTCTGTACCTAGAGACGAAGTTTTATCACGGAATGCTGCATCAGATGTTGCTCAGCACCCCGAGCAACACCCTCAAAGCGAAACACTGGCATCCCCCGATGGAATTGATATCCCAAGCACAACTGAGAGCATGGCAAGAGCATTAGTATATCCAGATTTCCATCCAGCTACGGTATATCCAACTCCTCCAGGAGGTGCATTAGGCCTCGGGCAACTTTCTTCCGATCACTCTGGCGGGCAGTACCCTCTTGAATTACCCCATATTTCTAGGGAGGACACTGATGCTAACATAACCGAATCCTTAAACCCTAATACCCGATCTTTGCTAGAAGCAACGTCTCCTGGGCTTGGCGCCGGTACTGGGATGTATGACACAGCCGATGATGACTTATTCGAAGAGATGGATGACAATTTTGATAACAAAGGAATTACTGAGGCGGATTTCAATTTTTTTGACGATCCTGGACTCTCTGACACCAACCTGGATGTTGACTCTGGGAACCCGAACCATAATTTCGTCATATCAGACCATCCCACGGCAGAATCAAAGCCAGATCTAGAGATGAGTGAGTCACTTGCCTCTCTAGAACCAGCTCCGCCTACCGAGCCCCATAGAATGGAAACTCCAATGTTAAACAATGCTGTGGAAGAAGGCACAGGTCAAGGACACAGTGGAATTAAAAGCAGCGAACCCACGGCTAGAGTGGCCGACACAGATAGGAATACGGAACGTCCAATAAGCCCACCACTAAGCCCATCAGGGGTAAAACGTATCTTATTTTCGAGCCCTAAAGGGAATTCAGAGAAGCCCAAAAACACGATAACCTCCGCCACAAACCTTCCAGTGGAAGCAAGCAGTCAACTAGGGCAACATAAAGGTCGTTATGATGCAATATCGTTCCAACATGAGCTTGACTTCTCCGACAGAAAATATGGGATTGATGGTAGATTCTGGTTCCTCCCTGATCACAAAACCTTCAATCACAATGCGGATTCACATACGACGAAAATACCCATGGTTAATGATCCGTCAATGCCATTCTATAAGTTAGGGCAGCAGACATACCCTCATAAAATCAACGAACGCTTGGATAGCGCAGACAGCGAACGATGCTCGTCTTCTACCTCCTCCACGTCCTCTGTTTCAGAGAATCACTATGAGCAGGCTGGATTCAATAAGATGCGCCCTGTAGATCCCATCGATAACAGGTTGAGGAGAGGAGATTTGGAAGAAATCTTCTCAGTTAGTTCTTCTCTACAAAGTCCTGGATTTAATGTTAGAAAACCTTACCCAACACACTCTGATTTGGAAGAGGATGTGCTATTAGCTGGGCTTGTCTACCCAGCTACTGATTGGTTATTGTCAAGCTATTTTACAGCGTTTGAACCCAGCATTCGCTCCGCTCTCTGCGGTCGAGATGAGACGCTCCATGTGGCACAGCTTTTGGTCGACCAAATAACTCAATCTACTTTAACGCATAAAACGGAGATCGCTTATGAGGAGAATGAGAAAGATATTTGGCAGGCATCAATAGATGACATCAACGCACTGGGCCAATCTCGCAGGCCCAGCCTTAAGTGTTATGCATCTATAAGTGACATTGGACCCAGCCAGCAAATAAAGGATACCACGAACGGCGCCATCATTAATTTAAGGCCACCTCATATGCAAATTAGGCGTGGAAATTGCTCTCTTGAAGTCTTACCAACCGCTATATCCTTTTGGGAGACCTTCGGCCTTGAGCCTCTCAAGGGCAAGAAGGATATCATTTCCTATTGTCTACATCCTGTGTCTATGCAAGAGAGCGCCAATGCCTTCCTTGATAGGCTGGGTCTAACATATTTGGGTGCCAATCTTGGTACATTCGCCCGTCATGGTAGCGCAAAGGGTTTGGTTCCATGGTCCCTGAGTCAGGATAAGCTAGACTATACATCAATTATGCGGAAGTTACTGCATATTTGTGAATCTTTAGGTATGTGTTAGGTAAACCTTCCCCAAATTTCCACTAGTATTAACACTGGAAATAGGAACTGCGCTGTCAAATCTATCGATGAACAACAAAACTGTCGTTGTGTACATCGTTAATCCTTTCAAGATTGGTGCAGCGATGGTTGATATATGTGTAGCTTTCTTACGTCTCTTTCGTAAATATGTGGAAGAGGCTGACAAGCGTTTAGTCCGTCGCCTCAATGAATTGGTGTTGCAGATAGTCCCATCCGACTTTATCACTGGAGAAGATTCGTTGGTAATACCCACACAAAATGACTACCTCCGACTTGCATTAGAGGTCTACTCCCGCTGTCCCCCACAAGACCCCATATCGGATATGTTTGCGGGCGCTCCTGCATTTACCCTAGCAACATCTGTCCCAAAGATTATTCCTTTCCGGTTAACCTCAGAGGAAGGTTCTCCCATGGATGCTGGGCAGGCATGCCATGTGGCATATTCTGTTAGCCAGGATCAGCGGTGGGTTACTGCGGCGTGGTGTGATAACCTAGGTTTGCGCCAGCTAACCCTGTCATACTCACTGCGACAAGACGTCTCTCATACTTGTAGACCACTAGCTGAAGTTCGAGAAGACATTTGGCAAGTGACCATGGACATGACAGGGATGTCTCGCTGCCGTTGGCGTGTTGTTCTTGCAAAGGATGAACCAATGGACGCCGAGGAAATAACAGGTATAAATCCAGCTCTTGCCCTAAAGCTGTTATTTATGAAAGGAAAAAAGTACTGACTACTTGGTATAGCTTGGACAAATCTTGCGGCTCGCCATAACCAACATCGCTCCGGTCTCGTGGATCTAATCCTACTTACCGTAAATATAGAACCAAACCTTCACCTGAAACTACCCCCTCCGCCGCCTCAACTGAACGCCCTCTACCAATCTGGCAATATGTCAACTCCGGTTTCTACTCCAAAACCCAGCATATCTTCTCCTGATCCATCAGCCAGTGCCCCAACCCCACCCAATATAGCCAATACACCAAATTTTTCATCCGAACCATCTCAACCTCAGGCCCAATCCCACTTTCAGGTTCACCCTACCCAGATACCGGTGGAAACAAATACTGAAACACTCCTAGTCGACAAGTCTGATGATTCCTGGGCTTTGGTTCTATCACAGCGTTTAAATAACTCCCATTCGTTCACCAATTACAAACCGGCTCTTGCAAATGGATATCTCATTCATCGTAGCGGCACCAGTGACACTGACTGGAAAGCCTCTTTGATGGTTAATCTGATACATCTCCAAAGTCGAATTCCTCCTAGCATCGTCCTGAAGGATTTATTAGGTATATTTCGGGATATGTCTTCTCTAACTAGGACAAGAGGACTTGTCTGTTCTCGGGGAAATAATGGCCTTCCCTGGCACATTTCTACTGCTATTAAAGGACAGGAGTTGTTAGGATGTATATTATAGAGCGCTCAAGGTCACTTGTTGGTTTTTGATACCCTTGAATGTTTAACTCTTAGGGAATAATTCATGTCAATGCGATTGTAACTCAAGTAGTGGAAGTGTTATTCATTTCCTGCCTTAGCTAGGACTCGTGCGAATAGAAATTCTGCCACATATGCATGCTCAAATTTCAAAATCCGCCATTCTATCAACACATTTACGCTCACAACTATGGTCAAAGTTACTTCGGATATCTCTCGCAGCTACACTTTTCCACCGAATATTTCCCGTAGAGAATGCTCCAGCATGTACCTAGTTAGGTCGTTAACTTTCGCATTCGCCTTTCTCATAGCTTCGTCAGCCTCTTTTTCCCTCAGGTCCAGAGCCTTACGAAGGCGCTGTATGTCCCCGAGTTCTTCCCGAAACCGAGCTTCGATGATCTGTCGTCGGGACTCCAGTGACCACATAAATACACTCATCACGGCATGCACATTGGAGAGCTGGAGCTCTCTGTTGTTATCACGAATTGCTCTCAGAAACAAAATCGCAGCCTGCGTGATATCCTCGAGCTTCTGAAGGCTTACCCGTTTACGGTGAACAGCGATGTTCCGGATCTCATAACCAGAGTGAAGGATTGACCTTATGTTCGGATAGTCCTCGGCATTAAAGGCGTTAATAGGAATTTTGTGGATGACTTTGTTTAAGGCCAAGGTCCATTTACTCAGCTCAATGGCTTCCGGACAGTCCCACATCTCTGTTGATATCAGCTCAGTAGCCCATTTGGACGCAAAGTCGAAGCATGCCTGCTCGAGGAGAGTCTGGATCTTCGTGAGAACTAGATGTTGTATTGGGAATGGGGCATGGGAGAGATTTGTTGAGCCATCATCTGAGGAATCTTGGATTGAGACTTCATCTATACACACAACAATTAGTATACACAACCTTTCATAAGTATCTGAGCACGAAGCCATAGAGGGACCTATACCTTTAGAAGAAGAGTTCTCGAGGTCTTTATCCGCCACATTTTCATCTATATCGCCAGAATGACCCTTTTTTCCCAACCCTCTATTATCGCAACTTGGCTCTGTTGACTTTGAAAGAACCGATATTTTAACATTATCTCCCTTTGTTGTTTGTTGACGAAGCAGTATTGCACTTGGAGGTTCTTTGGCTATAAGTTTGGGGGTAAAAGCATCATCTGTTAACAGCGACTGTAAGATATCCACGATTTTGTCCTGGCCTAAGTCCATAATCAAATCAGCATCAGGAGGACATTTGAGAGACTCAATTCTCTTAATTATCGCCTTTTTCTTTCGTATCAACGCGCTTTCTCCAACGAAGAGTGGCCGGTATGCCCGGAAAACCCGTTGTCTCTCATCGTCTTGGACCTTCATCATATTCGTCAGGGGTAAAATTCGACTTCGGGAATCTGGTTTCGACAGTTTGCGTAAAGGCGAAATGCTCTATGTCAGACAATATTAGTTGAGAGGACTGGGTTGGAAATATGTGATATACACCTGGATTTATGTCAACAGCTTCCATACAGTAAACAGATTGTTTCTAACACGGCAAGTGCCGTAAATAGTCCCCCGTCCCTACAGTAACGCTTGCGTCTAGCAATGCGGCAAATGAAAGCTGAACAAGAAATAGAATGCATAAACGCAGCCAGGAGGTCAATGGCTATGCAGTGAGACAGTGCCCACGAAGAAGGATAGTAGTTAGGCGTCTTTGAATCTGGACACTATAGCCATGTACGTTCTAGACATATGGTCCGGGCTATGAGTGGTAGCGCCGCGTTTCGTGACCAAATGACGCCGTGCTATACTAGGGTTTCTTCCTGTACTAGATAACATGCAGGAAGAGCGGGCAAAAAAGAGGAACAAGAGAACAACGTAAGAGTAACACTACGGGAAGAGAGAAAAAAAAAAAAAAAAGAGAGAGAGAAGAAAAAGGAAAAGGAAGGGGAGGAAGGATGCCGCAGCCAGGAATATTCAGTCTTCCTGACATCATGTCAGGTCATGACTCCTCCGTGTTGGTTTTATGAGATAAGGCTAGATATGCCATCCTCACTGGAGGATGCTTTGTTTTTGGTTGCTTGACCAGGTCAGCAACCGCAGCAATATGCAAGTAGTAACCATATTTCATATTTTGAAAGCAAACATAGTCAATTTACCCCAGCCGGTAGGATTGACGTATATTCAACACCACTGTATGGGGGAAGATTTGGTAAAAGGTCTGAACCTTGGCATAGAACGACTGGGCTGAATGCAGCGGGTTGCTTCGGAGCAGCGGCGTCATTCATATCTATGAAAAGCTGCCTCACTCCGTGGTTGTGACTGTGACGAGCCTACCCTACCTTCGGTGATGCCGGGGCTTAGCAAGAAGGAGTGGGAGACATCCGAGAGAGAGTATGGGTATGCTAACAAGGGCACGGGGGAGGGATTTTAATCACCCCGGGCAAATTCCTGTTTACATGGAAATGAATAGCGCTTTCTAGACAACTATGACGGAGGAAAAAGAAAGATAGGTAAGCTAAATAGAAGTGGATATCAGACCGTAGTGGGGAGCAGGATCCAGTCATGATAGAGAAATTCCGCATGTACGCCGCTCGCTCATCACTCCAAAAGAGTTATTGGCCCGGGATAAGGGTGGGAACGAGCAGCGAGGGGAAAATCTGAGCACTGCTGCCTAGAGTATAAACCACATGAGTATGCATGAACGTCACAGACCGGCGGCCAGCGCCAACCTGCGCAGTTTCATTGGTGATTAACCTGCAGGGAAAAAAACAGGAGAAAAAAAATATTGATGTGGGAAAGAGAAGGAGGATAAGAAATCCAGACTGAGGATAGTACGGCGTAGGCAGGCTATGCAGTCCCCCTAATATTTGAGGTTTTCTGGGGTTTATTGCCACTGGTAAATGAAAACAAATGCATACTCTGGCCTGGACTGGTGGTCACTAAAACCAGAGCAATGCAAGGCAGAATTCCTGGGTCTGAACACAAGAAATGTCGAAGAGGGTCACCATAGGGGTCGGCACGGTAACAAGGTACCAAAGCATAGAATGTCATCAGTGATATGGCACAGGCGCTTTGCAATGTCTGCACCACCCCAAGTTGGAAGTTCCCTCCGTGACATCAACAGAGTGAGAATTTTTATTCACTGCAAGGCTGATACGAAAACAAATATGAAGTTTTGGTAGGGAGAAGCGTCTAGCACGATTCCTCCAAAGCATGTCCCCAACCCCCACGAGTAAGGAAACCCAATTATAGCTGTCACTTCCAAGTATCAAGGGTATTTTGTAGCGGCTCTCACTCTATAGACCGTCATAGCAGAGCTGCTTGTCGTCCTATTGAGGAATGGTCTATTGGACACGAGAAAAAGTCTCCATTCCGGCTTGGAGATCATCGCCTGTGCTGGGAGCAACAGAGAGTTTGAGGCGCAAGCGCGAAAGGACACCCTCTAGAGCAGGCCACCCAACCCATCTCTGTGGCTCAAACCGGCCCCTTAAGCCCCCCCGGCCGTGCTTGTCGCAGAATGGCTGTCAGTTGCTGTCTTGTATGGCCAACGTTGCTCGTTGTCGTTGCTGACGGCGCGACGTTGGGCGCTTAGAAAGAAAGAGCCATAAATAGAAGTTTGTTTTGTTTGCTTGTGTCATGTGACCCATGCAAAAATAGAAACGCCTTTTTTCAACGTCAAACATCGAGAAGCCGGGCGAGGAGCAAGCGAAAGACAACAACCAACGCGAAGAAGAAGAAGCAACGCGCAAGATGTTGGGAGGGAGGACAGGAGTGTGCTGCCCCTGACAGCCAACAAGCGAGGGCTCAGGCTCGGAAGAGACACGCTAGCCGTTCGCGGCAAGCCTGAGGTTCATCTCAGCTGGGGTGGTCAGTCTGCTGGGAGGGCCGAGGCGGTGCAAGGAGGGAAAAGGGGGCCAGCACCAGCCTCGCTCGTTTGTTAGTCTGTGGCTCGAGTCAGACTAAGGACATGAACCCGGATGAACAACTCTGGCTCCCCGGGTGTGGCTTCGGCGCGAAAGATGCTCGGATACGGGTTACGTTCTTTGCAGCTCTGTATGAGGTTTTACTCCCCCCAACTAAGTACTTAGCTCTCACCAGCCTCATCCATCGCGAGATGTGGCTTTTGACGCTAAAAGAAAGGCAGACCGAGCATGCTTGAGCCTCAACTGCTCGGGCGTGGGCGTAAGCGAGTTTGCAAAGTGTATCTGCAAGTGACTCAGTGAGACGATTTGCGCTGCCTGGTCATCACCCCCTCAAAAACTATGAGTGGTCATCTGAGCGAATGAAAGGTTGAACCCATCTTACTCAGTAACTGGCTTGAGGAGTGAATGTTCAATATTTCGACAACTGTTATTGGGCAATGCAAGTCACCCCATGCACCAGGCAGTAAGAACAGACAAAGGCCAAGGTAACTTTCCTTGAGTTCTGCGTCATCCGGCAATCGACTCGCACACACAGCGAGAGACACCCCAGACATGACCTATTATTATTATTTTTATTATTTTCATTGTTTATGTGGATGGCGGAAATGTTGAACTAGGCCGCAGTGAATAGCCAGTTGGTTCACGGAGAGATATTTGGAGACACAGTAACTTTCTTATTTCGAGAACAGTATGCCTTGGATGAGAGCATGATTGACCTGATCAAAGAAAAAAAAAGATGATACCCCCCCGAGGAGTCAGTGGCGATAAGGTCAATCTCGGCGTGAACTTCGTGGGAAACCAACTCTCGTCGGCTCCTGCTTCGAACCTAACTAGTGTCAATGCAATGGAATGTTCCGCCTTGCATATCCCAGCTGGCTGCGCACACATCCTAGAGCGTGGAGGGTGTGAGGGTTTAGGCATCCACCTTTCACGCTTGGCTGATTCTCATTAGTAATAATAGGCACCAGCAAGATGGTTTTCTTCGATTGGCTAAGCCTCACTCCGCAGCACGACTATTGGGTGCAAGCTGCATCCAAGCTGCATCCTACGATCTCGTAAAATAGGGTTGC